TAGACCCGGCACCTTTTTGTTCTTACGCAGTATTTTATATATGTTATTTTCAGGATAATCCGAAGTATCAAATTTACTGGAATCAGCTTTAATGATCTCCTCATATGCATCCTCACATTGCAATTCGTAGATAAAACTGTCTGTGTCCATGTACATGAGCTTACACCTTTCTGCACCCATTTTTGGTAGCATATAGGTGTAATGAAAATCGTACATGACTAGTTTCGATAGGTCTAGAATTGCCTGCCCTACATACAGAGGTTTGTTAAACGTTATTTCAGCCTTGTTCAATTCGATAACCACCAGATTTTCCTCTAAAATTGTGCGACTGTGGAACCGAAAACTCGAAATCAAGTTTGCTGCCCCATAGCGACCACCCCAAGATTTAACGATTTTACATACGCGGTGCTTACGTATATTTTCCATGGTCTTACCGAATACTGCATTATTCATTAATTTAAAAAGATTTTTTTCGAAATCATTCCGGGCTGCAGCTCTACATCGAGTATTCAACTCGATGTAGGGTTTCAGCCAGGCTGCTTGTTTAAATTGTAAAATTTTATGGATTTTCGTTAACTTTAACCCATTAGCTAGCATTTGTTTTAAATTTTTATAGTGAACCGTGTACTCTTTTTTATCCGTAAGTGTTGCCATTAATTTCGGCAATTTTACCCCGCCGTCGCTGGGTGGTACGCTACGTTCTGCCGCAAACGGAAAATCTTTGTGTTTATCGTGCAGTTCTTGTGGGTACGATAGATCGACTTGTAGCACGTACCCTACGTCAGAGTCGTCGGGTATTGACATCACATCAAACGATGTTACATCATCTACCCATTTGAACCCTCCGTAGGGTAAGGGTTGCTGCATAGCATTCCCATATAAGCTATTCACATCCAGGTACATAAGGTACTTGGACGGCTTTTCAGGATCATATTCGGGCATATATTTATTGTTGGCCTCCGAAAATCGGTTGCTACACACCGAAATTCCACCTCTTATAGCATTTTCGTAAAACATCACCATATCTAGATCCTTTAGTAGTTCTAACTTACACCCAGTGTATTTGAGCATACAGTCCCACGTATATCCGGGCATTGTATAGTACCACGCAGGATCCAGACCATAGGTGGAGAAACATTTTTTACGCAATTGCTCAAAAACGTCGGCAAGAAGCAGAATATCTGTTTTTAAATATATATCAGAATACTCTCCTAATGTTTTAATGTTAAACTGTTGCCAAACAGATTGCGCATGAGCATACTTCTCGTCACTTACACTTTCATCGTTTAATTTATTGTAAAATTTTTCAATTGGGGGCAAAGTCGTTTCATTTAATTTTTTCAACGAATCAATGTAATCGTAACAGAAAACTCCTTTCTGTGTTAATAATTTGAATTTATCTTCATCTAAATTTTGAAATTCCCTTTGTAAAATTTTCTTTTCTGATACTGCTAAAATTGAAGCTAATTCATCAAGAGACGCCCCCATAAATCGAAAAGAGTCTATAAACCGCAATTTAATGTTATTTTCATCTGAGTGCAGCGTAAAGGAGATGTATTTATCTTTGTTGATGGGAAGTAGACTTAAGCGACCTTTTTTACATAAATTCGAAATCATAAAGTGACTATCGTACCCACTTAAATTATGGAATATAACCGGCACAACAAACAATTTTCTAAAGTTCAGATTGCATGCTTGGTGTGCGTAACCTCTGAACTCTCCACTGAAATGGTTGTGATCTCTAACGATTATGTCTTTTTTTGTTTTTGAAAATCTCTTACCGCAAATATGACATGATGTTGCCTTACATGTGTCTAATTTTTCAATCATAGGTACGCTTGTTTTTATTTTTGAGTTTACAAATTGCGCAACACCAGCCATACGATTTGCAAACCAATCCATACAATCTGCACCTCGATAGCTCTCGAAATAAGAAAGGCTATCATCATAGCTGCATTTTACATAGAAACCAGCACTATACGGAACGTGTTTTTGATATTTTATGGTTTTAGTTAAATTTACGACGCTACTTTCTTTATGATTTTCTAATTGACATTCAAAATCTGCATAAACAACAAAAGGAGTATTTTGTTGGTATGTAAAGTTTTTAAATTCAACGCAGCTCTCTTTAGGAAGGTTAATTTTATATTTATTAAATTTAGAACACAGTTTTTCATGTTCAACTAATTTATTTTGCTGATGGAAATAGTTCAGACATCTATCGCAAATAAATTTTTTCTCACGATGTTTATTTAACTGGCTACTAATAAGACGCGAAAGATTTTTAATCCAACAATAGTGATATTTAATTTCATCGATTGAATCATTATCTTCATTTGCTGGCGCTGGTGGAGGAGCATCATAATCATTTAAACGCGGATAATATTTATTTTGAGCTAAAAGTAAATTAACATGCGTATCCCGTTTATTTTCCGTTAATCTTGCTGGTACTACTATGTAAAATGATTTTTTTTCTGTTTCGATCAATTCTAAAGCGTAAACATTGACTGAAATGTTATTCATCTTTTCAAATTTTGAAATTTTTGTTAGCAGCATAGGACTATCTAAATTTTCTGTTTGTAAAACGTCAGTAAAGTGTGGATATGAGGAGGTTAGTTCTGCATGTCTTTTATTGCTAGGAGTCCGAAGAGCGCTTACAATGGCCCAGTAAAAGCAATTTTGATCTATATTTTTAATGTTTATACAAGCATTTTTCCTTATAATCGGTTCTGGTAGTCTAATATAAGATGAACCGTTTCCCAATTGATATTTACTGATATTAACAACTAAGGAAATAATTTTATTTAACGCAAATCCCGAATCTTTTTCAGCAAATTCCGATAATTCGTTTAAAAGTTTATCTTTAACATATATCTTAAACCACTCGTCTATTTGAGTTGATGTATCAATAATATGATTTTTAGTATTAATATATTTAATTCCCAAAATTTCATTATCCCCCGATTTCCTAATAAACTCCCCGCAAAATGTTGTATTTACTTTGAGCGCACAATGGGTGTTCAAAATATTCCTAATTTTCCTTTTAAAAACAACTACACAATCTGCTAAAAATTGATTCAAGTCCTTATGACGCAAATTAGCTATGGAACCGGTTTTTATTCTACTTTGAAAGCTCGATTCTACATTTTCCCATCTAACCCTCTGACCCAATGTTAAGTGAAGTCCTGCCCCAATATGTCTAGTTAAAATCAACTTTCTAAAATGTTTAAAATGCCCCAAATTTGTTTCTACTTTTCTACAGGTCCCTACAGATAATTTATTTTGCCTTCTACTACGAATTACCCGTTTACATAATCTAATTTGTTTTTCTATTCGTTTCAGCCACACTTCCGCGTCTCTGATTGTAAAATTATCAAATAAAATTTTCCGTAGACTAACAATTGATAGTAGAACACCGTCTGTTTGTTTGATGATCTTTTTAACCTTATTTGAAGACATTTGAAAAGACGACATTTTTTTTTTCAAGCAAACACATTACTCAAAAATATATAAAAATGCTCACCCTGTCCTCCTCCTGTTCTCTGCTTTGTTAATTTTCCACTATTTTGAATGATGCTAGCGGTCGGCTTTTCCCTACGTCCACTTCCCCTTGGAAGATGATCGAGTATTTTCCGTGAAAAAGTTCGTCGATGACCGGCTGGTACGTTTCCGTCACCCGCTGTGGTAGAAATAGCACTTCCGGTCCTAAATCTAGTAGCACGGCTTCCCCAAATTTCGACTTGACCACTTTAGCTGCTTGGATTGCAAATGGTGTCCCAACTGGTAGGTCCTTTAATTTTCTGATAGGTTTGCGGTCTACAATCGAAGACGCAGCATTAATTTTTGATAAATCCATCTATAAAAAAAATTGAGTCGTCTAACTATTTTGAAGCATAACACGAAAAAAAAAAACAGTTGCATTTAGAGACATAAAAAAGAAAAATATTAAATAAAATAGCACTTACTTTTTTTAAAATTTTCGCTCTCTCGTCTCTCTCGAAGCACTAATTGTACTGCGGTCGTTGTTGCAGCTTGCAGCGTTGTGCGTTAAGTGTGAAACAATGATGACTATTGCATGCGCTCGCTCAATATAAGTACGTAGTAGAGATGACACACGCGTGCATGAGATAATTGTATCGTAAATATGCATATTATATGCATCATATTCTCAGTACCATTTTTATCGAGAAAACTGCATGCGCTCGCTCAATATAAGTACGTAGTTGAGATGACACACGCGTGCATGAGATAATTGTATCGTAAATATGCATATTATATTCATCATATTCTCAGTACCATTTTTATCGAGAAAACAACATTCATTGCGGTTGCAGTATTTTTTATATAATTTCTTAGTAATACATGAATGTATCGTTTGTCCGGCGGAAATTCCAATTACAAGTTGCACATGAGAGTAGAATTTTGAGAAATATAGAAATTCGTGTATGATTATTGTATATTTGCTGCCTAATTTTTTTTCAGTCAAGATTTTGATTGGGGGGTAAACGAATTTATATTTGCTATCTGAGATTTTTGACATCATTCTCTATCAAGATGTTGATGTGGGTAGACGTATTATTTTTTATTTCAACTTTCACATACGTGCTTTGCAACGATTTCTCCGAAAAAGACGCTATAGTATACCTAACTCAATATGAACATATCATCGATAATACAACAGATCTCTCTACTTTGCTAACTAACTTGCAAGAAAAGTATAATTTACCAGTGGATGGATTGTTGAATAATGCAACAATTGAATTTATGAATCGTCCGCGTTGTCAATACAGTGATGCTGAATTTAGAGCAAGTTTTCCATTTCGGAAACATGACCTGAAATGGTATTTCCCTCGAAACACACCTGCGGCCCAAAAAGATGCAGAAATGGCTTTTCAGATGTGGCAAAATGTTTCAAACTTAACATTTACAATGGTTACCAATCCCACTCTATATCCTCCTGATATTACTATAACCATGGTTAGCAAGACTCATTATTTTAGCGCAAACTGTATGGGTAATGATGAATGTCCATTGACATTAGATGATGCTGGCGGCGTTTTAGGACATGCATACTTTCCTGACTCTAGCGGCACCTGTAGAGAAATCCATTTAGATATAAATGAACGCTGGTATTTTGGAAATAATCCTAATATACCCAAAAATCAAACTAGTTTTCTTATGGTGTTGGTTCATGAAATTGGACATGCCCTCGGCATAGCACATAGTGCTTCTCCGAATGCTATTATGTTTGCCTTCTATCAGCATGAGATTCGTGGTCTAGATGTTGATGATATAAATGCAGTACAATATCTATATGGAAGAAAAAACAAATATGATTCAATCCCAAAGTCTACCACCGCATCAGCAATACCAAAAACAACAACAACTATAAGATCTACAACTCGTAAGCAGCCGATCCTCAAAAATTTGTGTGATATTATTCCAGATTTTATGTTTTTAGCTATTGCTCCAGAGTTTTCAAATTACCGATTATATATTGCACATGATATGTTTATATGGAAACTAGACTTAAACGAAATGATTATCCCATCTCAGCCTGAACTTCTTGTCGATTATGTTCCTACAGAATTACGTCAATACACTTTACAACATATTTTCCAATCAACAAACGGTGACTTGATTACCATTGTGTCTCCAAACAAATATTTCTCAGCATCATTCCCTACCATTAAATTTCTTGATAATTTTTCAATTGATATACCCGATAGGGCTCGAATCAATGCTATTTTTCAATCAAACGCAGGACGGTCCTATACCTTTTATAATAATATGTCATATATAGAATTTTCTAACGATTTTACTGATGTGTTGAACAGAGGACGGATAAGAGACATATTTCCTGGGTTACCTGAAGATATTTCTCTCGCATTTCGATGGATTGATGGCCATATTTACTTTTTCCGTCACGCAACTTACTATAAATTTAATGAATTTACAAGAAAAGTTGTTGCGACCGGACCATTTCATTGGACTCTATTTGGAGTACCATGCCCCAGCCAGGATTTGTTACATCAACTAAAAACTCTGTTATCTAAACTTGTATCTGTATATCATTAAAAAATACATTTTTCAGAAAGCTATGTTTATTTCGTATTCAGCCTGTTGTCAAACAAAAAAAAAACAGTCGGTTCCTTCGACTCCCCACCCCCCCACCATCATTCTACTACATAAAGTTTCATTTTGAACGGTATCATCCTGTATAATAATAACAGTACATCGTATACAGGTTATGAGACATTCTGACCGACCGACCGACCGACCAGAGGAGCCCACCACGCTATTTAGGTCACGCCTTGCTATATACGATTTAACGATATACCGTCGGTCCATCGATCCGCTATTTTTCGATGCACCCCTGTATACACGTTCTGAATGCCCCCCGTAATCCACGCCAACACCAGACAGGTGCGACATCGGCGCCATCTATGCGCGAGATGCCCAACCCATCAATGGCAGCTGTCCAATGACACATAGATTCCGTTTGGTTTGTACAGCGCCAAACAAATCGGCGCCATCTATGCGCGAGATGCCCAACCCATCAATGACAGGTGTCCAATGACACATAGATTCCGTTAGGTTTGTACACCACCAAACAAATCGGCGCCATCTATGCGCGAGATGCCCAACCCATCAATGACAGGTGTCCAATGACGTATGACAGATGACGTGTAACGCCATCTATGCGTGAGATGCCCAATGACGCATGACAGGTGTCCAATGACACACAGATTCCGTTTGGTTTGACAGCGCCATCTAGCGGCGGAATCCCCAACTCATGAATACAGATTCCGTCCAACAACCTGTCAATGGCGCGCGACGCCAGCGCCTCTGGTGGCGGATTTTGGAAGTTTTGAGACCGAATCCCCATAAGACATCTACTAATATATTTTGGAAGTAAAATTAATTGCATATAGTAATGACGATAAGAGAACATTCCTAAAATGTATTGTAGTTGTGTGTGGAATTCCTGCCACCCTTAAAGATACTTTTTTTATATCGAAGCAGCCGCGCAAGCAGAAGCCTAAATGCCAGAACACGGCGGCTGCTAAGATGGAGCCCCTGGATTTTGATGAGACATAAAAGATAAGAAATGGAGAATCATGTATGAGGAGGATAAAGATTTTACCAACATAAAGAAATAATGAAAACGGCCAAGTGTTTGAAGCTCTGAAAAACCTACCCGAAGCATCGCCACTCGAAGAGCTTGAATAAACGTTCAGGGCCGACCTTAGATACTCGTTTTCACTTTGCAATGATGCTACTTCTCGTTTCAAACTGATGATAAGAGCCTCACGTGGGTCCTGAAATACAAAATATGATTCATAATATATCTACTGATATAAATACACGTTCGATCGCCCGTTAATTGAATGTATCCAGTTATAACAAATGACATATACAGAATCGCCGTAGTAGCTTGTCGACGTTCTCAGTGTAAAAAGTTTGGTAATTAACGGGATCCTTGACATTATTCATATTTTAGACTTGAAGTCAATGCCAGTTATGATGCCTAACGTTTTCATAATCTCTTATAATGTAAAAGAAAAATCTATTTGAAGATTCGTTCAAATGCTCATCTTGTGAGTTCCGTATTCAGAATCAACGAAAGAAAATGCAAGAAACTCATTTTAGTCAGCAACTAGCTGTTCAAACATAGGGGATGGGGGAAAAACCCTAATACAACACAAAACTATTTCAGATGTAAACTCCGGAGGCAACAAGCAGAAGACACAGCCAAGATGGAATGGTTATCCAGGTAATGTGCTAGAAATTTCAAAAGTTACTATAGATCAACATTTTTACTAGCATACATGTTTTAATAGTATTTTTATTAAGAAGATATTGCTATCACAAATGTGAAGATTTTCATATAATTGATTTTAGATCATGAATACCGAAATATTTTTCAATAGACATATATATACAGGGTGACTTTGAAGTTGAGTCATTAATTTTCAGATAATGATTGTAGAAGGAAGATAAACCAAAATATGTGTGTAAAAATAAAAAAAAAATTTACCTTGTTTTATAAAGTATCCTCCCGACAAGTATTTCAGTGCGGACCTGTATTTGATCGTGAGGTCCCCTGTGAGGTCTTAAGTCACCTGATTCACGAGCCCGTTGTACTACATTAACAAAGGCACGAGGGGTTGGTTGCACTCGATTGGGAAACCGATCCGCATAAACATGTGCCATTTTATATTTCGTTTGAGCCACGCAACAGATACCACTATTCACTGACACTGACTGTATACAAATGAATGAAACAATGTAAAAACATCGTTCCAAATTCTTTCGCTTTTTTGTTTCCGATGCGATGAACCGATACGGCGGATTATATCCGTTGTCGCCAAACACGAGCACATTGAGACAGGGCGGTACTCAAACTTCCAAAGGGCTATAACTTTGTCACTTTAATTTTACCAGAAAAATGGTAAAGGAAAAAAACATTTCTTTTGATCAGATCTACTCACTGTTAAAATAAATGACTCAACTTCGAAGTCACCCTGTATATAGAGAGAGATGGAGAGAAAATGATCATGCGGAGAAAGGTATATAACAAAAGTAGAAAAATAATGGGCAAATCCACAGAAAGGAGGAAAGTGGATTCGAGCAGAAAATAGGATAGGCAACCCGAGCGATACGTATTTCTGCTGGTTGGCTTCATCAGGCCCGAAATGAATGCACATATGAAACTACAAAAGTAAATACACATGCCCACACATCCGGATACGGGTTGGCTCTTGTTGTGGACTTCGTGTGTCGTTTTTTTTCCTCTCCATCTTCGGTTCCTCAGGTTACACTCGTATCCGGATGTGTGGGCATGCGAATCCACTTTTTTAGTTTCATATGTGCATTCATTTCGGGCCTGATGAAGCCAACCAGCAGAAATACGTATCGCTCGGGTTACCTATCCTATTTTCTGCTTGAATCCACTTTCCTCCTTTTTGCGGATTTTGCCCATTATTTTCCTACTTTTTGTTGTATATATATATATATATATATATATATATATAATCTGTTGTGTTCCCGTCCGAGATATTAATATCCACTCCATCTTGATTTTTACATTCGTCCAGTCCTACATCAGTACAATGGAGGGAAGCTATCGTGACATGCCTAACTAGTCTCAAGATGTATGACATTGAAACTATACATGCCTGAATATATGAAATCAATAATTATGGGGATAAAATTGGAGGACATACTTTATCATGTTCCCATTCTAAATTAAATGCACGACTATATTTTGAACACTTACCATTAACACAACCGGCTTAGTCCTTATTTTCTTGGCTCGGGCCGCATAACGAAGAGTGTTTATTGTTTCATATATGTTTGATCTTGCGGGTGAAATGCAAGCAATCTGAAATTATCGAAAATCAATTAACCATGATAAATATAAATTATAGATTTTCATTTACCATTAGAGTCACCCCATTTCCCGCTAGCGAGTCCGCTAGAAGCTTCGTTAGCTTAGAATCTCTGTAAGGTATATGGGATCCTTTTCTCTTCGGGTCGCTCAGAGAAGCTATACAGTAACCTATAATGAAACAATGATTACGAGTTAGACGCACAAAACAAACTACACAACGTTGTACAGGATGTCCGAGAACAGTGTTTCTCAAAGTGGGCGATAACGCTCCGCTCTTCATTTGTAAGAAGGGTATATTCATTCTCAGAAGCAGCAATCGACGGCGGCCTCTCCTCCCCCGCTCTTCAATTTTCAAACGCGGATACCCTCTCCCGAGACGAACATCTTCTTGAACAATTGTGTGTGGAAGGGGGTAGGTGATCAAGTTCCTATAGGCCAACGATTCTTATTTCGTCTAGCAGCCTCTCATGTTTTAGTGTAGGTAAGTTTTAATTTTCGTTTTAAGTAAACAATAACGCTAATTCATCATCTCCTCTAGGATCTTTACCGCGCTACCTAGGTCTTCAGCGCCTAAAAAGAGGCGTTATCGCCCACTTTGAGCATGACTGAGACAAATATTGCCTACGAGCCTCCTCATCTGGGATGTCGATGTCACTGGAAATTGTTTTTTTCTTAAATAGCATTTGAATGGTGCTGGATGAGTCAACATAATTTTTACAGCATAGGAGTATCACGTGATAGACAAAAAAAATATTTATTTTATAACGAACATGTACAACAGAGAAATTGTTCATAATATTCTTTCCCTGCCCTACCGGTAGTTAGTGTCCCTTTCCCCAATCTGCGCGGCATCGCTGCAAGCGTGTTGTTGATTTCGTGTGTGTTTCTGTTTCCTCTTCGTTCCCTTAGCCCACAGGACATATTCTAAAGGCTTTTAGCACAACATCAACGCAATATTTTACCCTCTCCGACCCGAAGTCCTCCGCGCTGGACATAGTTTTATGCATAGTATCTCGCTCCACCTCGAAAACTTGGCAACGCCGATGTTTCGTCATTGTAACTATGATGGTGTGCTCGTTTTGAGGTTTGCCATGGCGTACCTACGTAAATTTGGTAAGTTTTTGTATTTCTACCACTTATTTCAATTATACTTTAGGTCCAGTCCGAAGACATCACTTTGTTTATTTACTATGTAGTCCGGCCCTGGATTACTAGCCGCACACTAAGTTAAAAGACAAGAGATCCCCGCTCCCGTCCCGTCGCTCTCCGGTCTTGCCCATTGAGTCATTCGGTTTTTGGTGTTACAGCCGTACGGTCGCCCGGCTTGTTTGTGCGTTAGGAAACACGTAAAATACGCGATTCCCTTTCAAATCGGTTTAGTGCATGGTGAGTAAGTTGGTAAGTAGGTACAACAATGGGTTGTTTTGCTGCTCATCTAGTAGCACGTTATATATAATATAAGATATACTCAGCAGAAAACCATGGAAGAAAAAACTGGCGGCAGGGACCACGTCAATGGTCCCATGAAATTTCAGTTTTTTGAAATTGGCGGCTGCGCCAGAAAATTAGTATACATATATCATATATGCACATTTTTAAAGAAATATGCACAATTTCTATTGACATCTTTGCACAATTCAAAATCTATCGAGAACAACACTTTCAAGGTCCCGTTCGCGGAGTAGCATCAGTCGTAGTCGATCACCGAGCGTGTCGAGGCGACGTAGAGAGAGACGAGAAGATGTGCGGGAAAAAACATCCAGCCCAGCTGATAATGCACAGCGTCAGGTAGGCCTGGCTGGTCGTTCCCCGTGCGGGCCGGAAGCTCAGGTACTGACAGGGCCGGATTTGGGAGCGGCGCCAACAACGCAAAACAGTATGGACGATGTTTTGATACTTGACGATGCCGATTGTATGCCATTATCAGAGGACACATTAAATATTCTGGGTGCCGATCCTGAAAAGGCTAATACGTCTAGTTTTGAACTTCACGGTGCCCTAGCCTCCAGGTGGTCCCATATTTTGGCAAACGGGCTATCCGCCGAAGATATTTCTATCCTAAGCGAAAAACAAAATGTGCCAGCTAATTTCGCTTTATTACGTCCTCCAAAAGTAAATCCCGAAGTGAAAACTATTCTTTCATCCACACATTTAACTAGGGATTCCACTCACTAAGGGTACCAATTGCACATTGGTAACGGACTAACCACACTGGGAAAAGCACTCGACGTTATCTTGGAAGACGAATCCAGCATCCCTAAAGACATTTTACACCAGGAACTTGAGGGTAGAAGCTGCAGGTCGAGGTCTCGTGCCGATTCGCCCCATTACTTTAGGCGTTCTCGTTCTCGGCCGAGCCGTAGACGTTCAAGGTCCGGGGATGTTCCGACATGCACAATTGTGCATATTATGCACAATTTTACGAACATATGCACAACATGCACCCCCCCCCCACACAAAATATGCACAATCGCCAATAAATAAAGTGCATTTTTTATACAAAACTGGCAATACATTATCTTAACAGCTTCTCGAACTGAGTGAAATGTACTGTTAGACACAAACAAAATACGAATCCAGTAATTATTTGTTACGCATTCGCGTCCCCATGATTGTTCATAAATGATAGCCCTAGTTAAATTTAATAAGCGGGGATTTGGAGGTTAATTCTCCCAGTTTCTTGAGGAGTCTTGACAGGGAAAAAGTCTTTGACAGATTCTGCACGAATATTGGCAGCTCTTTTCCACGATATTTCGAAAACAAGGAAATATTTAATTAGCCCAGTACTTAACAAATCAGTTAAAGAACTGACTGAAAATACCATACCTGGTGAATTTTTGTTTGGGCCAGATTTAGGTGAACGAGCAAAAAATTTGAAATCTTTGGAAAAGGCAAGACAGGACGTTTGCCTTCTAACCCCTCACGCATTAACTCTCAATCAGCGCGGGGGCCTTCAATCATTCCGAAAGGAGAGGGGGGGCAGCTCGTCCAAGAATGCAGGACCTTTAAACAGGTATCGCTCGTCTTACCGCAAGAGGGAGGTGAGGCAATACAAGGGCCATTCCTCGAAACAGTTTCCTTAGAACAGACAACAGCAAACCAGGAAACGCTGAAGGTAAAACAACTTCCGTTTGCTGGCCGTTTACAGTTTTATTTGGACTCTTGGTCCAAACTGACCTCAAATTTGACAGTCTTATCCTGGATTCAAGGTTATAGGATTCCCTTCAAAGACAACCTTCCATCATGCCACCACTTGGTTAAAAATACTTTTGTCCCTACAGAAACATCGCTAGTAAGATTAGCTATAAACGATTTGTTGAGGTCCGGAGCCATACTCAAATCTGAGTCAAGGCCCGAACAATTTATCTCTCCATGTTTCCTAGCAGATATCCAGCGGTGGAAAAAGGTTTATTTTAAATCCAAAAAAATTAAATGAACATGTGGAATGTCCGCATTTTAAAATGGAGGACCTACGAACGGCAATTAAATTGACTCACAAAAACGTGTATATGTGCACAATTGATTTGAAAGATGCATACTTTTTGGTACCCGTTCACAATGACCATCAACCATTCCTTAAATTTCAATTTGAAGGTCAATTGTACCAATTTACCTGCTTACCGTTCGGGTTATGTACAGCTCCGTTATGCTTCACAAAACTCATGAAGCCAGTCGCCTCTTTTCTCCACACTTTAGGCATCTCTACAGTCAATTACCTAGACGATTTCCTAATATTCGGAGATTCCTATGAATCCTGTCTCAAACATGTCAACACAACCATTTGTCTTTTAAAATCGTTAGGTCTTATAATCAATAAAAACAAAAGCATCCTAGTACCTACCACTTACATAAAGTTTCTAGGCTTTATGATATATAGTGTCCATTTAAAAATAGAACTTCCTGACGAAAAGAAGCCTATCCCTGAAAGCATAAAGCCAGATATTTTTTGGTGGACAAATCATATTTCAAAAGCCTTCAATGACATCAGGTATGATTCCTTTCATATAACAATTTTTACCGACGCATCACTTACAGGATGGGGTGCTGGTTGTGGCCATGACAGAACCCATGGATCCTGGTCTGACTCTCAAAAACGGTTACATATAAATAATTTGGAGTTATGGGCTATTTCGTACGGGATTCAGTGCTATGCCAAAAATTTGAAAAACTGCAATATTCTAATTAGATGTGACAACACGACAGCTGTTTCATACATCAACAGAATGGGGAGCCTTCAATTCCCAGACTTCTGTTCGTTGTCAAAACAAATTTGGCAATGGTGTGAGCAAAGGAACCTCTGGCTCTTCGCTTCATACATTCCTTCGAAGGATAATGTTATAGCAGACACCGAGTCCAGGAGTTCGAATTTGGAAACGGAATGGTCATTATGTCAAACCGCCTTCGACCGTTTAACCACCGTTTTCGGAAACCTAGAGATTGATCTTTTTGCTTCCCATACAAATGCTAAATTCAAGTTATATGTCTCCTGGCATAGAGATCCAGGATATGCATATATTGACGCATTTACGATTCCCTGGAATCGATTTTATTTTTACGCATTTCCACATTACAACAATATAACAGTTCGTATAAATTACGGTGGGGTTATTGCTTCAGTAATGACATTTCGCTTTTTAATCCCACAATCAAAGAAGTGGTGTCATTCTTGCAAGAATAGACAAATAATCAAAACCTTACGTATGGTACTTTTAACTCCCATACATCTGCCCTTTCATTAATTTGCTCAAAGGATTTAGCCTCTAATCCGATAATTAAACGCTTCAAAAAAGGCATCTCTCGCTTATGGCCTTCACGACCAAAGTATACTGCCACCTGGGACCCTATACCCCTTCTAAATTATTTAGAGAAGTTATCATCACCGCTTAGTCTTCAAACTCTGTCACACAAATTAACGACGTTATAAGCCCTGATAACAGGAGAAAAACTCCAGACGATATCTCTTATACGTCTCTCAAATATAATCCATGGTCACAGTGAATCAACTATTAATATATCGGATCCAATTAAAACCAGTAGAGTTGGAAAACCTCAACCCACTCTGCACATCCCGATTTTTCAACAAAACCCCTTTCTTTGCGTGGCCTCAATCCTGAAAGAATACATTGATAGAACGGCTTCTTTAAGAGAACCCAATAACGATTTCCTATTTGTGACAGGGAAAAAACCCCATGGCAGGGCGTCTAAAGACACTTTAAGCAGATGGGTAAAATAGACCCTTGCCTCTGCAGGAGTAGAAACAACACTTTTTACGCCTCATTCAGTAAGGCATGCGGCGACTTCTGAGGCGTTAAGAAAAGGCGTTTCCGTAGATAACATATGTAAAACAGTAGGTTGGACGCAACGTTCCACGTTTGCAAGATTTTATAATCGTCCTCTATAACCAAACAATGAGTTTGCAAATGCAATCCTAGATATAAAATTGGTCTGATTAGTTAAGTTCTAATACTCTTGAGAGTTTGTTACATGTTTCCTGTGTTTCAGTTATTTCTCATATCAACGTTATCTTTAGGTTACAATTTGAGAATTTATTTTATGTTTGTTACATAGGAATACTAAATATATTGATTCCACTTTATAACACCATCAGATCGCTCGCAACTGTGTTCTATCTTTAAACATCTACATAGTAAATAAACAAAGTGATGTCTTCGGACTGGACCTAAAGAATAACTAATCGATCAGACGAACTTACCTTAAGTGAAGTTCGATCGTAATTACACGAGGGTCCAGTCCGAAGACATCACTCCCACCCCTTTTTTCAACCCTCCCAAGTTGCGAGCAAGTACCATTTCTTTTAACAAATGAGTCAATGGGCAAGACCGGAGAGCGACGGGACGGGAGCGGGGATCTCTTTTCTTTTAACTTGGTGTGCGGCTAGTAATCCAGGGCCGGACTACATAGTAAATAAACAAAGTGATGTCTTCGGAATGGACCCTCGTGTAATTACGATCGAACTTCACTTAAGGTAAGTTCGTCTGATCGATTAGTTATTCTTTAGGTCCAGTCCGAAGACATCACTTTGTTTATTTACTATGTAGATGTTTAAAGATAGTTCGTTTGATCGATTAATTATTACTATGTGAGAATCGACAGAATATGAATGTATCTTCGATTAGATAATGTCGGTTGGATGTTAACAGTAATAAGAAACTGTATAAAAGTGGTCTACGTTTTCTGTACAGCATTTTGGATACTGGGACTTTACTATACTTACTTGGACATACTTTGGTTTTGTAATTGTTTTGCCTACTTATTTTTAGTATTTACTTTTTTGTAAATTTATGCCTTGTTTAATTATTCTTTTTTTAGAGTCCAAAAAATATCTCACTGATGCCGATTTAGAAGAAATCATAAACAGCAGTGATTTTTTTCTAAGCGATGACAATGATGAAGATGATGCGTTCCCTACAGCGACGTTAGATGAAGATGCTCAGATACAGCCACAAGAAGTCAAAGAAGATTATGAAGCTTCAGAAAACTAATACTGCACATATCTGGGAAAGACAGCCTTTCGAGGAACAGAATATTGCTTGCCTCGATCCAGAATGGGTTTTACAGAAAGATCGTGAGTTTAGATTATTTCTCACAATACTTTTCTGACGAGTTTTGGGAAAATGTATCTAAGCAAAGCAACATCAGAGCTATGCAGGCTAATGAAAAAAAGTTATTGAATTCTACAGCGGAAGAATATCATAAACTGACGGGAATTCATATTCTCATGGGTATATTTGGACTGCCAAGACTAAGGCTGTATTTCATAAAAGGAATCGACATCCCCATAATAACCCAACTACCTAGAGATCGAATTTTCAAATTACGAAACTACCTACATGTTGTTGATAACCTCAGCATTTCAGATCAAGAAAACCAATCAAATACGTTTTGGAAAGTGCAACCGATTCGTGATTCAGTTCGAGCCAAGTGTATCACCTTGCCAAGGACAAAAGACTTATCTATTGATGAACAAATGATACCATTTACAGGCACTTCAAGCTTAGTCCAATACGTTAAAAATAAACCAAATCCCGTTGGGTTGAAAAATTTTGTTCTGGCGATACCCTCAGGGTTGGTATTAAATTTCTTCATTTACCAGGGAGCTAAAACCTGGCCAGATGGTTCACCAGAGAAGGATTTGGGCATAGGAGGGAGTGTGATGAAAAAGGTTTCTGATAATTTGTCACCTGGACACGTCCTTTATTTTGATCGTTATTTCACTTCCCTCAACCTACTCGACTATTTATTAACTAAAGGGATCTTAGGAGTAGGAACTATTATGAATAATAGGGTGCCTCGAGTTGTAAGAGATAAAATTAAAAAAGATAAAGATCTGCTATCAAATGGTCGGGGTTCGTATGATGAATGGGAGAGAACTGATAAAAAAATGTCATTACTGAAGTGGATGGACAGCAGAGCCGTCACAATGGCATCTACATCGTCAGGTTCTGCGCCGATATGCGATCTTCACAGGTGGGACAAAAAAAACTCAAAAATATATTTTCCATCGTTAGTTACAACCGCTCGATGGGCGGTATAGATCTTTGCGATCGATTCATTTCATATTATCGCATTTGCATGCGAACAAAGAAATCGCCAGTGCGGGTATTTTGGCACTTCATTGACTTGGCCATCACTAATGCGTGGATAGAGTACAAGCAGGATTGCTTAGCGCGTGGAGATCGGAAGAATACCGTCATGGATTTGCTAGAGTTCAAACTCTATATTGGTAGATCTTTAGCTCTCGGAGGCCAAAGACAGAAGACTTTACACGATCGGGGGAACAATGATAGTGCCGAAGAGAATATACCGGCAAAACGCAAGAAGTCAACATCATTGCCACCCAAGGACGTCAGAAAAACCGGCAACGATAATTTGCCGATATGTAGTGTAAATGACAAAAACTCCTCCTACATGCGGTGCAGGAATGAAGGTTGCACAAAGAAAACTCGGTTCAACTGTCTCAAGTGCCAGGTTTATCTTTGTATTTCTCCAGAAAGACAATGTTTTTTTGAATTTCACTCTTAAACTTTGAGATAAAGTAAGTCCTCATGTCCAAAATGTGGGACATGTTGTAATTTTTTTCTTTTTAATAAAATTTCACTTGACTGGATCTATAGCTTTATTGAGTCCATAATACTCGTATTTCTCAGAAAATTCTACAAAAATAACGAAGAAGCAAGCCTTGGGACTGAGGAGAGTATAATTACGTATAATTATGTTTGATTTGAGGGTCGCAGAAGAACGCGGATCGAAAACATTTTCTATAATTTTAAGTTTTAATGGCAAATGTACGGGAAAATCTACGTTGTGTGAAATATGGCTATTAGGTGCATGGAATTATTGGGGTTGGGAGAGCACTAATATGCTAAGATCAAAAAATTTTCACGTACCTTCCTCCACTCCCTACAGCTCCACATGTTTTTTCCGAAAATGATCAGGAGCCTCGGAATCGTCAAAAAACGAAGTTTGAGCGATTTTTATTTTTTCGTTTTTCGCCTCTCACCCCGCCGCCACTGGACCGATTTTCGAAATCTATAAAGCTTGTGTGCCCTTGGCGGAAACGAGTGACATGATGTTTTTTGATTTACATGCTATATTACTATATTATATATTATTATAAATTTTTCGCGATTACAAGCCTGGTTTCAAAAACTGCTCATTCTATCGAAATCGAGTAAGACTGTTATTTTTTTTAGCTAAGATATCAGGCTTTCCAAAAATACAATTTTTAAGTTATTGCTATACAGGGTGTAAAGAATACTAGTAATGTTTTGTTAAGGCCAAACTGGTTATTACGCTGTCAAAAGTTTGATGAAGCATGCTGTGATTACAGTATCGTTCAAATGTTTTGTGAGAGAAACCAATTTCCGATGGCGTCCTTTAAAGGCCTGCAAGTTCTTAGGGACGTTTCACATTTTTTATAGAAAATTATCATTGTATGTCCTCAAACCTGGAGTTCGTTAATAATTATAGTCGTATTTTAAGTTGGGAAAAAATTACCAAAAGGTTTGTTATAATAACCAAGAGGTCCAGGGCTCTTAGATCATACCCAACATGAAATATATAAATATAAATTAAGCAGCGACTGCGTAACGAGCGCTAAACTGAACTGAATACGATCAATTGATCTTAACGTTTTATTCAGCTTGAAATTAACATTTTTATTTGCACTTGTCGTCGACAAAATTTTATATCCCTTGACGTGTTACAGGTAGTGGTATTTCGTACCTTGTGCTTAAATTTTACGCTGCGGGCCATATGCACCCCTTTAATGTCCTGGATACATAAATAACTAATATATTATGGTGCAAACAGAGTAATTATACTCCTTTACCTGAATGGACAATTGTATTATTTTGAGGATATAAGTATCCTTTTACAGTCTGTTTCTTATTCTGTATGAATTTTTTGAGCAACCACAAATTAGAACAGCGCGAAAGCGACACCCGAACTTGCATATTTTTTGGAGACTTCCGCAGTGTGATTGTGGATCCGTAGAAAATGCCTCCGCACTCCATAGAATAGATTAGGCAAAAGTTCGCATTCGTTAGAGAAACTTTACGACTCATTTTTTCCATAATCCCGTTTGTTGGATGTAACAAGACCCAAGATACGGTAACTTGGTACAAATTAGAACTTCTTAGACAAGTTTTTTCAGGCTCTCTGGATCATTCTGAACAAAAAAGCTCGGTAATAACTTGTCTCTAAAGTTGAATGTATTCGACTTGAGGTTTGAAAAACTCTCAAAATGTTAGTAATTACCATTTTTGAGATTGCCAATTGTATAAATTAAGTTCAACGACCGCTAGGTGGCGCTATCATCGAGCACCCAACGAATAGGGACGCGGGTGTTGCTCATAGCGCGTTCTTAAAAATAAATAATTCCGCAAATTCTTTTTGGTGTCTTGTAGAGAAAACCTTTAGTTTTAAACGTGATTATAGAAAAATTGAGGAAAATTTCTCCACGAATACGACGTTTTTGCTCTGTCCAAGTGCGAATCATTCATAGCAAAAATGAATGGAATATATCATACCTTATTCATAATTCATGTACTGTAAAATTGGAATATTGATTCTTGACAGATGACGCCTAGAACCACACCAAGTACGGATAATAAATCGCGACTTACTGGATAATATAATCCCAGGAAAATCATTATACCTTCAAGTTAATAACCGTACGAACGTCGAATAGCAAAGCTGTATAGACAGGTCTGTTGTTCGATTAAACTTGTGAAAAGGTCTCATAGATAATTTATCGACGTCTAATCTACTTCGTTTTTGTTTGACCCTGACAATTTGACTTGATCATTTATTAATAGTGAAATCTACGGTTCCCTAATATCGAACACGTTACAGTAGTAATAGTAGTTTTAGCTTATGGGTGAGCGTAATAACGATTAGCTTACGAATAAGTAGGAAATCACGACTCTATACCTTGCTTGCAGTTTCAGCTCGATTTGAATATGAAAGGTGCGATAAACATTCTACGCAATTAACAAAAAAAGGAAATATAAAGATTTTGATAAAACAAATTAAAATCACCTGTGCTAGAGAGAAAACCACAAATATGTAATAGAAACCAAGTTGGTGCTAAAATCGATCCTTGGCTTACTATAGTGGGTCAAAAAAAAATTGATGCTTAACTGTGATTGATATCTACGGAGTCTGCTTCCCATACGCAAGTGATTCTAGGAAGGGCAAAATACATGTCATACCGAATTATCTGAAGTCTGCGTAATGTCAATTTGAAACACGAGAATGAACGAAATCACTCCACAATTGAGTGAAGCTAGACGGAGGGCGCCCCAGTAGATCTTTGGTGTCTCTGTCTTTACCAAGCAGTGATGCTCAAAATATTTGAGAAGTTTTTGATGTGCTATTTGAGACGGTTTGAACATGAGCATGAGTTATTATATCTCTATATAATTTCACAAGCTCTGAAACGGCTAAGAGATACGAAGTCGCTTAGAATGGCACAAACTTGCGGATTTAGGTATCTAACAAAGTGGCGCTTCGGAAGTTTTTGAAATTCGAGGTACTTCCGGAGAGAAATAGAAAAGACGGAATTTTCCCAAAATCATTTTAATTTTTTCCCGACTTTATTTATAGAGGGATATTAAAATAAATTGTACATTAACATTGGCACTTTTTGTACTCTACAACTTTGCATAATTGTAGTCTCAATATGACGTGTTGTCTCTAGTTCTCCAGCATCAACTGTATTTTTTCTTATGGATGCCATATTAGATTTTTGCGCAGATGGATATAGTTTTTAATTCTGATTTTAAAAATGTATAATATGCCATACATTAAGATTATCAAACCCAATGTACATATAAGAGTTAGGATTTGCCTACAAAATAACGAACAGCATTTTGAACATCTGCGACGATTTACCCCTGCTTACTTATGACTGTTATGATATTCTTACCATCAATAGAATTTTCATTTTGTGTTCAGCTTTCACCATACCTCTTTATTTCCTTATACTTTTCATCCAAAAACAAATTCATGGCCAACCAACGGAATTTAGGACTGAAAAGTCCACTTAAATGTACAAAATTCCAATATAGCGTCCATATGAAAATAACAAATTGGGTGATCGAAGTCGACGGAAGAACAAATCTCGAAATGAAAATTTGACTACCATCTTGTAGAGTAACAATGGTAACATGCAATTTATTTTGAAATCTCATCTCAAATAATGTTGGGGAGAGATAAAAATGATTTTAGGGCAATTCGGCGCCTAATCGGCATAGTAGAGCCCTGCGACTGTTTTAGTCTTTTCCAGATAGGTAGCCAAAGTAGATCAAACCTTGTGATTTCCATCACCTTTTCGAGCGAAAGGACAGTCTTCCCTGTTTTCGAAGTACGTTCGCCGGGTGAAGTCCACTGTCCTTGGTATCTGGTGTATATCAGTGGATCCATGTTCCGCCGACTGTCACGAAACGACACAGAAACTCCTTCGCAATGCGCTTAATTAGCGTCAAACACTGCTCTGAAGTGGTTTCATGGTTGCGCTTGTTGTCTGGAGAGAGCAAACGCGGCGCCCGTCGCGCACACAGCTTTCTCGTGCCCAATATTTCATATAGGATATGACCCACCTGGTTTTTTGAGATGCCGACTGTCTCAGCTATCTCGCGCACCTTTAATCGGCGGTCTGCCAATACTATATCGTGGAGTTTCGCCACGTTATCCTCCGTGGTAGCCGTTTTAGGGTCACCTGGGCGTGACCGACCTGCCACCACGTTGAAACTCAAACCAATTTTTGACGGTCGCCATCGAAGGAGAAAAGTCACCGTACACAGCATCGCTCTTTTTTCATTTTTCTAATATCCGCGGACACACCGGAATACTCACGCGGTCAAAACAAAACCACGAGTCCGATTCGGCTGAAATTTTGACAGTAGTTGTCTACGAGAATATACTACACCATAGTGGAGCCATCGGACGGTGAGCAACAGACTTTCGCACCTACAGAAATATGTAAAAGGATTCTGAACGGCACGGGTATCATGTAAAAAACCTCAGTATACAAAACCAAAATTATTTTTTGGAGTTGCAAAATAATTCAAGTAGTCAAAGCAATAATGCTTAAGCTATTTCAAATGATTTACTTCTTTTCTTTGCTCTATTTCTTCCTTCCTTTCTTTCCTTCTTTCCCTTTTACCTTTAAACATGTTTGGTATCCGACGAGACTTTTAACTAACAGTAAAGGTACACCGGAGCGCTCTGACGAAAAATGACGAATAGAATGTAAAAAACCTATAAAACGTCAAAAAAGAACTATAAGATGTCAACTTGCAGACTAGGTAGTTTTTAGAGCGCAAACAGTCATTCCACGTTTGCTCACTAGGATCGTTGTGAACGTCCATCTATGGAGGAATCACTCAACTAAACTACGCATTATTGGTTGCATAGTTTTGTGAGACTGAGTGATCCGGGTCTGTAGTTTTTATCTCTGAGAAGAAAGTTGGTTGAATAGCAAGATCGCATCTGGATGATTATGTGTATTGGTCTGCATGTGTATAAAATCAGTGATGTTTGCTGTGCGGGAAAATCATTACTGAATACGCCGAATATGACATCTTGTGCTTTCTGAAGAGAGGTTATATTCAAAGTTATAAATTACGAAAAACTGGGGAGAATTACGGCAAATCATCACCGCGCCCGCGTTGTGTGTAATTACTGTTAGCATGTATGTGGCTTGTCATTCGACAGTGTACAATGAATATAATTATTTCTTATCTCTCTCATTTTTGCAATTCAGCAAATTTCTGTATGTAATTTCCAGAATGGATAAGAAAAAGTGGATGCGAAACTAATTTCTAGCTTTGAATTTCAATTAAGTGTATTTCAGACAAGAACTCAATGTAGTTATCATCAAAACATAGACCTCCAGTAATGCCATCTCAGAAGCAGGTTTTACATCACATCAGGGCCAAACAATTGATAACAAGCCTCATGACGTTTAGACAACACGTACAACTAAGTGCTAAGATAACATCTTGTAGAAAAACCTACATAATAATAATGTCAAAAAAAACCAGCATAATGTCAAAAAAATCGGCATAATGTCACTTTTCAAGTATACGTGATACCCGTGCCAGTCCTGAATCGGTAAGTTCGAAATAGAAGATAGGGCGATACGATAGCGAATACGAAACAAATAACTATCTGATAATTTCAATACCTAGCTAGGAATTCTGCTTTTTTTAAATAACTAAGGTTTGGTGATGTCAATGTATTCATCTATGCAAAAATCCAATATGGCGTTCAAAATAGAATATAAAGCTGATGCTGGAGGGCAAGAGACCAAACCACTTATTGAAATTCTTATTATGCCTTCTTCTTCTTCCTACTTTATCAATAGGCTCATGCCTGTTTGACTTCGGTTTTTAGCCTCAATTGATGTTGTCTGACCATTTTTTCCTCGGTCGTCCCATTGATCTTATTCCATTTGGCGATTTGTCTCTTGCTATTCGTACTGTTCTATTTTCTGTCATTCTTTCTATGTGTTGGTTCCATTATATTTTTCTTCTTTTGATCCACAGGTTTATTTCCTCTATACCACATCTCGCTCGAATTTCCTCACTTCTTACTCTGTCTCTTAGAGTTTGGTTTGTTATTTTTCGTAAGACATTTCTGCTGTTTCCAATAATCTTTGTGTATTCGCCATATCTGCTCTTCTCTCCGCTGTGTACGTCATTATCGGTCTTATTGTTGATATATATATATCTCAGTTCTCATTTCCGTTGCGAGAAATTTGTTTCTCCAGATAGTATTGTTGAGACATCCTGCTGCTCTGTTCGCCATGTTCACTTGTTTTTGTACTTCTTCTTCCACTTTTCCATAGCTTGACAGTTTGATTCCCAAGTATTCCGTTTCCATCACTTGTTCTATTATTTTGTTATTTACGACCAGTTTACATCGTCTCGGTTCACTGATGATATCAGTATTGATTTAGTTTTCTCTGTTCTAATCACCATGTTGTATATGAGCGCCGTATCTTCGAATTCTTTAATTAACCTTTGTAGGTCATCTTCATTTTCGGCTATTATTATGGCGTCGCCGGTGTAGCATATTGTCTGCATTTCCTTTTCTCCCATTCTATATCCTCTTCCATTCTTAACTTTCTTAATGATTTCATCCAGATTAAATATTAGTGGGCTCAGCGAATCTCCCTGTCTAATGCCAGTTTCATACTTGATAGGTTGCGAGAGTTTTCCTTTACATCTTACCATAGCTATGTTATCTTTATATATATTCTCAATAGTTTTTACTAAATCCATTCTTGTTGTCAATTTGAGTATTGTATTTAACAGATTTATTGCTCGATAATTATTGGAGTCTTTCTTATCTCCTCCATTCATCTGGTATTCTGTTCGTGGTGATTATTTTTTGTATAAGGAGTTGCAGTTGTTGTACAAGGTAATCACCTCCATATTTGAAGAGGAAAAAAGTGGCCATGTTAATGTGCAATTTATTTTGAAATTCCACCAGAAATAAAGTGAGGAAAAATTAGAATAATTTTGGGATTATTCTGTTCTTACAGTTTCCGAGACATCAATGGTGAGGGTCGAATTTGGAACATCCGGTATATTGCTGTCTTAGCAAGGCATGGTAAAATAGCCGGAATCGGTTATTGAACTAAATATATAAAGCTGGCAACGGACGGTGAGCGATAATATAATATACATTATATCCATATTACAGAAATATCGCTCCATGTGTAAACCTATTGAGACGCCACCCACGGACGCTATAAGATATATTTACATCCCAGCGATATATTACGTATCTGTCGGGATATGCTTACCGAGCGATATTCTGCGCTATATCGCGCTATATACGAGGGATGTCTTTTAAGTTTTGCATATGGAAATAAAACAATACGGTAGGTAGTTTTGAATGACTTTATTGTTTTTCGAAGTATTCTCCACGAAGATTAATACACATCTGCATGCGCTCGAACCAATTTTGAAGCACTTATTCCACTCGTTTGCTGGCAGATCCAAAACGGCATTTTTGAATGCGTCAACTGCTTCTTCTGGTGACTGGGACTGTTTTTAATTTTCGGGAAAGTAAAGAAATTGTTAGGACTTAGATCGGGACTATATGGAGGATAGTCCAATAATTCCACGTTTTCTTCCGTTAAATACTGCCTTGTTTTTTGGGCTGTGTGCAAGCTTGCATTGTCTTGGTGGAGGATGATTCTTCTTTCGGGGTTGATTTTTCGAAGCTGGGTGATGATGACTTTTGGCAAACAAATGGTGGTATACCAATCTGCAGTAACAGTTCTTTGCTCATTAAGAAAAATTGTTGCAATATGACCCGCTTTTGACACAAATGTCGCGACCATCTTTTTCGAAACACTTCGAGAACAGATGACTTTTGTTGGCTTTTCTTCACCTTGAAACACCCAGACAGCCGTCTGTCGTTTATTCTCTTGTTCTTAACAGTAAATCCACGATTCACACTAACAATGCTAACATTTTTTGAGTTTCCGGAATTGAAACGGTGAAGAGTTTTTTGACACTAATTAACCCTGGCTGCTGTCTGCTTTTCAGTCAACAGGTGGAGTATCCAACGAGAAACTAATTTTCTTACTCCTAATTCTTCATGTAGAATTTTTTGAATTGAGGTGTTTGAGATCTTCAAGGACGCCTCAGTCTCGCGATATGTCACATGTCTGTCTTCAATGATGAGTTTGCGCACAGCATCGACATTGTCCTGGGTGACTGCCGTTTTTGGCGCACCCACCATGGGATCGTCGCTAAAACTCACTCGTCCACGTTCGAATTCTCTATACCAACGGAAAATTGTCGACTGATGTGGCACTTCGTTGCCGAAAACAGATAGTAACTCAGCAAGGCATTCTTGTTGCGATAATTGTCTCTGAAAGTTGTAATAAATTATGGCGCGAAAATGTTCTCGGTTGAGTTCCATTTTTCTAATGAGTTGGTGACACTTAAGAATTCACTGTAGTATTCACTGCACGTATTGTTGTGAAACTTTGAATTTAAGTTAACTAAAGAGTGAGGTTAAGAGTCAGTACTGACGTTCGATCCGCGTGGCCTACTATGTTTCTATATGCAAAACTTAAAAGACATCCCTCGTATATTGCCCTCTTGCGTCTCGTCACCCGAAAATGTCCACGAACCGCTCTTGCTAAGAGCCGGCTTGGCGCGATGTTGCTATTTTATTATTTGTTCTTGCACTTCGGAATTCGCAATGGACAAAATGGAGCATTTTATTGATAGTGTAAGAAAACATCCATGTTTATCGAAGGTAGACTCGAACGAGTATGAAAATAATGAGATTAAAGAAGCAGCTTGGAGAAGTATCATCGCTGATTACAACATATCCGACGGTATGAACTTGTAAATATTTATTTTTATATACATAGGTAGTGTGAAAGCTAATAGTAGGGAAACCCGAAAGGGGATTTTAGGATTTACTCAAGCGCGGCAGATTAACATATGGGGGTACCTTGTTAATTAAATACTCTGTGTACAGCACAGATCAGCAGATCAGCCTACGCACAGCAATGCTGAAAAATCGGTAGGTTCTGCACCACTGCTAGAAAGATATTTTTTTTTGGCACTATTACATTGCGTCCCATTAGCCAGATCCAATCTTGTATATATATGTATATCTCTAATTATGGACAAGCACACGACGTCACAAACATCCATGGCTCCGAAATGTGATTTCCGAAGGCGAGATTCGAGCTCGCGGCCCTGCCGGCCGGCTGATCAGTAGCACGACACTCTGACCCACGCGGCCAACCGAGGTCCCTGCTAGAAAGATATGAAAATATATATTCTGTAGTCAGTTGCAGTCATAATATAATATTATATTATAGCGTATTGTACGACTATAATATATGTTAGCGGCGCCGCTGTGGCTGCCCATAATTCCCTCTCAAAAGTGTGAAATGATATCGTTATCTTCTGCGACGGAAGGAGAAGCACGAGGGGTCCGGGGACGACTACTACCTGCGAGGGATCGCAGGTAGTAGCGAAGATGACAGTCACGTATCTACAGCCAAATAAATTGTGCCTAAATACGGAGTAAATGGTAGTACTCGGAATAAAGTATTGATTGGGGATAGACGTGAATTTTTTTTGGGGTAAAAGCCAAATCAAATCTACCCCGTTTCTTACATCAGAAGTGGGATTACATCCGTGCCGCATTTTCCACTTTATATTGGACAAAAAAAAAGGGAACAATGTCGGAAGAAAACAGTCCTCGTCGCGAAAGTGTCGAAGTCGCGTGTAGTGCCGAAGTGGATACCAAGAAAGTGGCTATGTCTCCGCCAACTCCTAAACGGCGGAAAGTTGAGTGGCAGGAGACATTGATGAACTTTGTGGCTGCACAACAGCAACAGTTAGTCGAGTTAACTCGGCAGTCCAGAATGACATCGTCCGCCCCGCCAACACCCAGGGATACCATCGTAGATGGCATAAGGGCTACGATGTCTGGACATACGTCGTTTAAGCTCACTACGTTCGATCCCGAAAAAACTGCATACTCCATCGGGGAATGGCTGGATGACGCTACGAAGCTTAAAGATGAACTAGGTATCAGTGATAATTTAATGATTGCTAAGGCTAGCGAAGCTCTCAAAAATCGTGCGTATCAATACTGTTGCGATTGGAGACCGAGATGCCGAACCTGGAAAATATTCTGTGACGACCTAGTGGTAGCCTTTCCAAACCAGGAGACTCCAGGTGCCCGTGCTTTTAAGGCAGCTACACTCCGGAGTAACGATTGTGAAACTTTATGCGAATATGGCAACCAAAAGCTAGGTTTTATTCGCAGATTCCAAGAAAACTTGCCATGGAACAAGGTACTTAGCATGGTGGAATATGGGCTGGATAACACAGAAGCCCGTTCTACTTTGCACATTAAAATTCCGGACTCAGAACGAGAGTTAATGAAGCTGTTTTGCGAAATGGATGCGCGCCAAGTTGGCCGGTCAAGCAAATTCAGGAGAGCTAGCGCACTCACAGGAACAACCTACAGATCAGAACATCATTCTAAGAACCACTTCAACCAGAAACCAGCTAAAATAATTAAAAGTACTTGTTTCAACTGTGGTCGCAGGGGACATCACCAGAATACATGTCGTGTCGTGCAAATGGACAAAACAGTGAAAGTTGATGAAAAAGCCGAAACTACTGCCGTGCCATCTTGCACTTATTGCAAAAAGATGGGGTACAGTGAATCAAATTGCTGGCCAAAACATGGGAGGCCCAAGAAAGCATTTGTATTGAAGAAACGACGCCAGCTACAATTTACTCCGATAGCAACATTATTGTGTAATAACCAAGCAACATTATTTACCTACATCATTGACAGTGGTGCCGATGTATCCATAGTGAAACGCTCTGTCATAAGAACAATTAATGGCATTGTCAGGTCATCCGAACAAGTGCGTGCCTTTTCGGGACTCGGGAACAAATCTGTTTACGCCGAGGGTGTGAGCGACCTGATAATCGTTCTGCCAAATGTGACTTTAGAGATAACTTTCACCGTGGTGTGTGACAGTGCTATTCCGGGTGATTTTGACGTTATTATTGGATGGGATGTTATCGGTCGACCATCTGTGCGAGTTGAAAAGAATGCCGATGGCCTGGGTTTGCATTGTGAACCAGTTAATGGGATGAAATTGTTCACCCTAAAGACTTCTGTGGATGTTAAGATAAATCAGCAAGGGCTAGATGACAGCTTAAAGCCACAAGTGGAGAAATTACTAACACTCTATAAAAGCAAAACGCCTGAAACGATTACAACAGGTAAAATGACCATTCGATTAAAAGACAGTACTCCGGTTTCATCTCCGTGCACGTCGTTTAGCACTTCAAGAACGAATAGAAGTTAACAAAATAATTGACGATCTTTTGTCTAAAGGAATCATCCCAAAGAGTCGTTCAGAATATGCCAGTCCTATTGTTCTAGTTAAAAAGAAGTGCAATGAGACAAGGATGTGTGTTGATTACCGAGATATAAACAAACGTGTTTATAAATAAATATACCCCCTACCCGTTATCGAAGAACAGGTGAACTCATTGTCTCACGCCAAATACTTCACTACACTAGATATGAAGTCTGGTTTTTATCAAATGGAAATTGAGGAAAGTTCCAGACACATTACGGCGTTTATCACACCAGATGGGCTCTATGAATTTAACCGTATGCCTTTTGGATATGTCAATGCCCCGGCAATATATCAGCGAGCAATTGACGAAGCTTTGGGAGACCTGAAAGGTAATAAGGCTTTTGTCTACCTTGATGATGTGCTCGTGCCGTCGGCGACAATAGAAGACGGCTTGCAATATCTGGAGGAAGTGTTGAGTGCTTTGGCTATTCATAGATTTTCCTTGAACTATGAAAAGTGTAAATTTTTTGAGAAACAGATAGAGTATCTTGGTGTCCTATTGAGTGAAGGAACAATTCCCCTAGTCCGAGAAAAGTGAATGCCCTGACCCAATCACCTTCTCCGACAAGTGTTAAAGGTATTCTCCAGTTTATGGGACTCGCGGGTTATTTTCGCAAGTTCATTAAAGACTTCTCCATCATTACGGCTCCAATTACGGCTTTGTTACGAAAAAACCGTGTTTTCGAGTGGACTCCCGAATGTGAGCGGGCAAGGCAATTTATTATGGACAAACTGACCAGTTCTCCTGTATTACGAATGTTCAATCCAGCCCTGAGTTGTGAACTTCACACTGACGCGAGTTCAGTGGGACTTGGCGCTGTGCTGCTCCAAAAAGAAGACGGTGTTTCGCGACCTGTCGCCTATTATAGCCGTCAGACGACCGATTACGAATCAAGGTATCACTCGTATGATTTAGAGACACTTGCTGTAGTGGAAGCTGTTGAGCGATTTCGAGTTTATTTGTACGGAGTGCACTTTGTGGTGTACACTGACTGTAATTCAGTGAGAGCAACTGCTTTGAAGAAAGACTTTACACCCCCGTGTAGCCCGTTGGTGGATTAAGTTACAGGACTACGACTTTAGCATCGAGCATCGTCCCGGAAGTAAAATGGCTCACGTGGACTATCTGAGTCGAAACCCACCAGAGGAAGAATCTGCTCTGAAGGTGTTCGCTTTGAAAACTATAAACGTGAGTAGACTATCAGATGTCAAAACTTTGCGAAGTTTTCAGGAGCAAGACACATTTTGTTTGAAATCCTGAATAATCCAGAAATAAATCCCAACTTTATTGTAAAAAATAATGTCGTTGTGACCAAGTCAAAACCCCATAAGTGTTTTGTTCCCATTGAAGCACGCCTTTTGACAATGAAACTATATCATGATGAATCATCACACATTGGTTTCGACAAATGTATAGCCAAATTACGGGAGGATTTATTTTGGCCAAAAATGGGCAAATGTTTGAAAAAGTACATTAGAAACTGTCAAGCATGTGTACTAGGAGAATCACATACCGGTCGCAGAGTAGGATGGTGGCTGCATGGCGAAAAACCTGATGATATCCTCCACACTTGGCACATTGATCATGCAGGACCTTTGATAAAATCAAATGGATTCACGCACATCTTGGTAATAATTGATGCCTTCTCTAAATATTGCCGTCACCAACCAATCCCAAAGAAAACCTCTGAAGATATCATCTGTGCTTTGTTACCAGTTTTTCAAGAGCTGGGGACCCCGAAACGCATAATAGCTGACAGAGCAGCCGCATTCACATCGGTGACATTCCAGAATTTCCTTAGTGAGCAAGGAGTTCAGTTACATCATATAGTGACTGGAATGCCTCGAGGATATGGACAAGTAGAGCGTGTTATGCGCACATGTTTCAATTTACTGCGACCTACACTTATGAGCGAAAATGAGGAGCAGTGGGCTACGATATTGCCAGCTATAGTATACGTAGAAGAGGATCTAAATAACACAGTCCATTCGACAACTGCAGTACTCCAACTGGAAAACAACCCTAGACTGTCAGCGACGCAACAATTTTTAGGAGATGCGCCGGTAGCGGATAACTTCATTGATAGCGACGAAGCTGTAGGCCAGGCTCGGATTCGTATTGAAGATGAAGGAAAAAAGAACGCTCAACGGTTTAATGCAGCTCGCTACCGGACAAGTTTATTTGACATTGGGGATCTTGTGGCTGTCGAAGACTCCCAGTTAGCTGGAGGCGGAAAATTGAAACCGAAGCGTCCTTCCTTACGACAGATATTTGCTAGGCGGAAAAGGACGACTTGCTACAGCAGCCGCTCATGAGCAACTACGGCGTTGGCCCTCCCAGAACTGACACATAGAATGAAAGTGTAAGTAGAATACAATACTCGTATCATAAATCACACTTTCAGATAAGGTCTGGCTTTTAGCAGCAACACAAAATGGTTTGGTGCTAATCGCAACAGAAAAATTCTGACTGTGTATAAAATGTTGATGAATTTAAAAAAAAAAGAAATTTATTTCAAGAGTTTCATATGTCTGACATTTGGCAGCATCTGAATGCGTACGAAAGATTAAATAACAGAGACCATAGTAAAAGGAATAAGTCATCCTTTTTTTTTATTGTTTTCTCGTATTTGTGTTTGAATATTGTTACGATCAGATAAGGTCTGGCTTTTGACAGCAACAGAAAATGTCTGGCTGTGAATAGCAACAGAAAATTTCTGATCGTGTGAAATCTGGCTTTCGACAGGATCAGAAAGGTCTGGCTGTTGATCGCAACAGAAATTTCTGACCGTCAAAATAAGAAAAAAAAATATAAATTAAAATAAGAGTGGTGTTGTCACTTTCAGATAAGGTCTGGCTTTTAGTGGTAGCAGAAAGGTCTGACTCTAATAGCAACAGAAAATTTCTGATTGTGTACAAAGTACTGATGAAATTTAATTGAAAATGTTTTTGACACATTCAAATTAGGTCTGACAT